GGGTGAGAGCATGGATGGGAGAATCCTAGCTTCTGGCTTCCTGTGTGAACTTGGACAAGATGCTTAGCCTCTCTGAACTGTTTGTGTACTTAAGAAAGAGTAAATGTTTGTTGAGAAGCTTATATGAAATTGTACAGGTAGAGATAATGCACAGTACTTCACAGAGTCTGAGAAGGAATGCTGATAGGAATATACTCATATTTCTAAGGCAGTACACCGTCTGTTTTGATCTTTGTATCACAAGAAGGTGGAAGAAAGAGAGGTTATCAGTCTGGAAGTGTGTGTGTGTGTAGATTAAAACTTTACTGCTTCATTTTCAAAACCCCTCACATAGGGTCACCATAAGTTGGGATGGACTTGATGGTGACAGTTTTGGTTGTTATTTACCCATGGGGGTTAATGTTGCATTCCCATCTGCTTATTTTAGAGATCAAAGTTTTCATATCTGCAGTTTCTCATATCAGAATTAAGATCTTCTGTGTCAAGCATCTTATTTAAAATAAAACACACACATAATTAGAAAGAGTCATTCAGCACCAGAAGGTACAGAATGAAAACTAAACCTCTCCTACCCTGTCCCAAGTTCACTTCCCATTAGCAATCATTAACTGTATCTTGTGAGTCCTTCCAGACAAAACCCGTGCCTACACAGCAAAACCACACAGGAATCAGTGTGTTGATGACTGCCACCACTCGTGACTGTTGCGTTGACTCTGCAGCACAGTGACCCATGTGTGTCCAATACAACTGTGTTTTCAAGGCTTTTTTTGGGGGGGCGGGGAGTCAGTACCTAACAATAAGGTCTTTGATCACAGGTCAAGTTTAACTGTTAAAGATACACCTATTAAAAACAAACAACAAAAAACAACCCTCACTGCCATGGAGTTGATTCTGGGATTCAGTGTCCCTATAGGTCAGGGTAGAATTGCCTCTCTAGGTTTCCAAGACTGGAAATGTTTAACAGAGTAAAAAGCCTTATCTTTAGTTCATGGAGTGGTTGGTGGTTTCAAACTGCTGACCTTGCTGTTAGTAACCCACCGTGCATCCGCACACTATCTTCTGTTAAAGATACACAGATATGTCAGATTGCTCTTTACAAATGAGGAGCTAAACTTGAGAGACATTGTTCTGGGTGAGAGGGCTCATTCCTACCTGTCTTATCTCACTGTATGTTCTGGGGTCTTGCACATGTCTCTTTTGCCCTGATTCTCAGTAGTCTGGGGAGAGTTGACAGAGAGGAACAGAGCGGACTGGAGGGTCAGCACCATGTGCTTAGCAGTGCAGCTGACGCCCAAAAGGAGATGCGACTCTTCCCTGGATGACGGATACAGGTCTGCAGAGTTCTCTTGAGTTACTGACCTTTTGGCTGGGCACTTCGTTCTGAGGGCCTCCCAGCCTGTGATAATGTCAACTGGGTCCTCGGGTGGGGTGGGGGGAGGACAAAGCCCCTCCTACCTCTAATTCCTGCTCTGCTCTACCAGAACTTCTTAATTTTAAGCTTTTCTATTTGATATCTTTTGCAACACGGACAAGCACTGCCAGAAACACCCCGACGTCTAAACTCGCCAGGGCAGTTTTACCCTGTCTTATAGGGTCGCTATGAGTCGGCATTGGCATCGATTCCAAGGTAGTGAGTTCGTTTTTGGTTGAGGATTCGGGAGTCCATGGCAAAATCCATGACTCTGAAGGCCGTTTTGGTCATTGGTCATTCAGAAACCTGTTAATGTTGCCAATTTTTGGTGACCCCATAAGCAGTTACTCAACCTCATATGGGGTTTGGGCTCCAGACCCTTCATTGTTAGTATGTGAACCGCCGAACATTCCTAAGTGCCCAGCACTCTGGGTCTCGAAGGTCGATCTGGATGGGGAAGCTACGAGAGGAGGCCGACAATTTCCTTTGTGAAGACAGCCACAGCCATCTGAGAGGCTTTGTTGCCTGCGTCCATCCTCCCTCCAGCCAGACAATCCTTCCTTCCATCAAACCCTCCTGCTTTCCCTCCCACTGCACAACACAGCATGTGAACATGGTCACAATGTAAAAGTTTCAAATACAGTATCCGCATCCCTCCCACTGACTGGATCATCCTGACTGAGTTTGCTTTACACTCAGAATTCCCTACCCATTTACAGACACAGTTTCACGTTCCAAGTGAGAGGCATGCTTTTGTCTGGAACGTGAAGAGGGCAGCATTATACAGTGAACACTCGCCACTTCGCGCTTCGACTTCCGCGGCTTCACTCTATCGCGGTTTTTGCGTAACAGCGCATGCTCTGTCATTACTGCCACTGATTGGCTCATACTGTACACGCTTCTGTCTGCATCGCTACCTATCGGAGCTACGTATCAGATGCATTTTTGCTTTTGTACAGTGTACTGTAATTGTTTGCGATTTTTAAGAAATTTTATCTAAGCCCTATGATGGCTACTAAATGAGCTGCTTCTTCTAAGCCTTCTGACAATAAAAATAAGCGCCAGAGGAAGATGCTCACCATCCAGGAAAAGGTAAAACTTTTGGATATGATCAAAGATGGCAAGAAAATCGTGGAGGTTGCATGCCATTGATTACAGTATTTGTAAGAACTATGTATAATAATACTGTATGTGAAATATGTAATACTGTAAACTAGATGCCATAAATAATATAATAAATAATAAATGATCATTGTAACGTCCAAAATGTTTTACTGTATTTTCCCTTTTTTGTTTAATAAATTGGGTAATACGAGTGTAATGGTGACTAAAAGGTGTTTTTTCATGTCCTCTATGCTCTAACTACGAAAATATTTGATTTACAAATAAGGAATCCTACTTTGCGGAATTTCATTTATCACGGTAGGGTCTAGAACCGATTAACCGCGATAAACGAGGGTTCACTGTATGTCTGACTGAGCATCTTGAATTTTAAAAAATTGATGATTGGACATTAGTTCATATCGGTGCTACCTCCTCCTTTTTCTTAAGTTTTATTGGCACATAATCCACATCACACAATTCAAGAGTTCAATCATTAAAAGAGTTGTGTAATCTATTTTTAAAAATTATTTTATTGGGGGCTCGTACAACTCATCACAATCTATCCATCCATGTATCAAGCACATTCGTACATTTGTTGCCCTCATCATTCTCAAAACATTTGCTTTCGGCTTGAGCCCTTGGTGTCAGCTTTCATTTTCCCCTCCTCCCCTCATGAACCCTTGATAATTTATACATTATTATTTTTTCATGTCTTACACTGACCGATGTCTCCCTTTACCCACTTTTCTGTTGTCCATCCCCCTGGGAGGGGGTCATATGTAGATCATTGTGATCCGTTCCCCCTTTCACCCCCTACCTTCCTCTTACCCTCCTGGTATGACTACTCTCAATATTGGTCCTAAGGGGGTTTATCTGTCCTGGATTCCTTGTTTCTAGCTCTCATCTGTACCCATGTACATGCTCTGGTCTAGCCAGATTTGTAAGGTAGAATTGGGGTATGATAGTGGGGGTGGGGAAGGAAATATTAAAGAACCAGAGGAAAGCTGTATGTTTCATCGGTGCTATACTGCACCCTGACTTAAAAATTTTTTTATGACAGCATAGTATTTTGTATTACAGGCAGGCCACCATTCAACTGTTTGCCAATGAATGAGTATTTTTGACGAAAGATGTGGCTGTCCACTCCAGTAAAGATTTATGATCTCTGATGTATGCTGAGTCACTGCATCAGAATTTATTCAGTGGCAATGGGTTTCTTGGTTTTAATTTTAAATATTCTAATAATGGTGCCATGAACAACCTGATACAGGCCTTTCCGTAAATAAATGATATTTTTATTTAGGGGACCTATACAAATAGATACTGCCCAATTGCCTTATAAAATAGCCTTTATCATTTAATTCTCCTTCTAAATGTGATGACGAATAGATTAGCAATTCCCCACATCAGAGGCTCCCTGGGTTAAATGACCAATCTTGTACATTTTGGTCAATCTGCTCTCAGGAGAGACATCTTTGTAAAATGCAAATCTCTTTGTGCGCCCGTGTTAAAACTCCTCGGGAATTTCCTTCCTCCTTCACAATAAATCTCAAAGTCCTTAGCTTGCCTCACATGACGTTTTGTTGTTGTTGCTTTTCTCCTGTAGGCTGTGTTTCCACCTGTCATCTCACACGTCTGTTAACACCTGTTCTGGGACCAAGGTCCCAGTCGCAGCACCCCTCTGATGAATGGGTGACTGCCAACACTGTCCTGGTCATTTCTGAGACCCTGCCCTGGTACTCCATCTTTGCTGAATGAAAGAGACTGGTGCGTTGGGGAACCAGTGGGAAATTCCTCATTACTCCTGGGCCTGCCCTAGACCCCAGGTTTAGAGAACATATCCCAGCAGTGGAGTTGAGCTGGATTTGGCTTGGGCAGTGCTTCCCGCCAGGGCTAGGCCAGCCTGCTCTCCCTCTTCCCACCCAGAGAGGCTCAGAATTCCCCAACAGGACCCCTCCCCAGCAGGTTACATAACTGGAATGAGAATGGGTTAAGTCACATCATTGGAACCAAAGTTCCAATATAAAATGTTTATGCTGACCAGCAGAGGGCACAACAAAATATCTTAAGAGATGTCCACAGAACAGGCTGGAGGGCCACTTAGTCCCTCGTGTTTGGGGAAATTTTTGGAATGTACAAACTGGAGTGGGAGAAATTATTCCCTGAAGACAAAAAAGACCAGAGAAAAATAAAGTCTTTCAATGCCCATACACTGTACACGCAGCAATAACAAGGGATAACAATGGTGGTGATGCGCACAGTGCTGCATGAGGTCCCAAACTTGACGGGTGAATTTACAAGCTACTGTTTCTCTGCTACACATCAAGAGGGAAAATCTGATTAAAATACCCAGGAGCCGACCACTGGGTCAGCCAACAGCAGGGCAGACTGAGCCCCTCAAGGTTTTCAAGGCTGTGGTCATTAGAAGCCGGCTACATCTTTCTCCCAGAGTGGATGGTGGGAGCGTGGTTGGTGGGTTCGAACCCCCAACTTCTAGATAAATGGCCAACCCCTAACGACTGTGCCACCAGAGTACCTGCCAAGAAGCAATGGGGTGGGAAACGTAGCTTCTGAAACCCAACACTTTTTATTTAAGATCATTTTATTGGGGTCTCTTACAACTCTTATGACAATCCATACATCAGTTGAATCAGGCGTATTTGTACATTATGTTGCCATTCTTTTCTAGACAACTACTTTCTATTTAGTCCTTGGTATCAGCTCCTCTTCCCCCCGCCCCCAACACTTTTTAAAAATATGTGATCGCTTTATATTTTCTTACACACACAAGAGGAATTGTTTTCTTCGTTTTCCTTGTGGTCAACAGCAGTGCAACATGAAGGTTAAGAGTCAGCAAGTGCCCTTAAGCTGTTGCATGAAATAAAGTAAATAAAAGATTCTTTTAAAAACCCACCCAAACAATTTTAACGGGCAACTTTACCACTTGGTTCCCCTCGCACCAGCCTGTGCGGAAAGGGCGGGAAAGAGGACTCTGCGGCCGGTCCAAACAAGTAAAAGAAAGAAAGGAAAGAACAGAGGACAGAGCCAGGAAACTCATCAACGCCCCAGAGGGCACGGCAGCCCTGGGGCTCGGTCTCCTAGGAGCCGTCCAACCTCTGCGTCAATCAGCCCTGTCCGGCTTCGCGATTGGTCAGGGTCTTCCTTGGCCTCTAGAGCCCACCTCCCGGTTGCTTGGGGTTTACTTCCCCAAAGTACAAGGGTCCCACCTTGTGGAGCAACCGCTCCTGCCTGGAAAACAGGTCTCCGCCCAGGGGGAAGACATTTTAGCGAATGAGAATAGCTCGCTAGGTTTATTGGCTAGGATAGGTATCGGTCACCCAATATCCCATCCACTTTTCCACTGTACCTTTAAGGTATTGGTTTCTCGGGGTGTCAATCTGACACTAGGGAACCGCGATCTTTACCGTTTCATACGTCCGATTCCAAGCCAATCAAGAGCCCCGCCTTCGCCCTGAGCCGGTACCCAATGGCGGCTCGAAGAGCCCAGAGAGCGCGTCCAGGATTGGCCGTCCGCTCGCCCGGCTTGGCCGCAGCAGGCTAGGCTGAGTGGTGGCTATATAGACCGGCGGCGGAGCACGCGTGTGTGCGGACGCAGTTGCGTTAGGGTTTTCTGCCATCGGCCCTGCTGTGGAGCGAAGCTTGTTCCTCTCCCGCTCAGCCGCGCAGGTATACCGGGGCGTGGGCGTGGGCGGGCCGCCGGAGCCCCGCAGGTGCTAGCCCAGGGAAGTCCGAGCGGCGGCCGCGCGGGGCGC